AGACAATAATAATAATTAGAATAATAATTATTATTAATATTATTATTATTAATATTATGTTACTTAGACAATGGAGAATTTAGAGAACAATTAAAAAAACGATGTTAAGGGGAAAATAACACAAAAGATATTCCCCTTAAGTCTGATTTAGTGTGATGATAATAATAATAATAATAATAATAATAATAATAATAATAATAATAATAATAATTATGAAGTTCTACTTATATAGCACAAATACAATCAAGCTTCTATGTGTTTTACAAAAAAATCAAAATCAAATTATATTATAACACACCTAAGTAGATTCATATGATATTCTTACATTGTCTTACTTGCTATACAAAATTGACATGTTTATCATTCTTTGAAAAAAGATAGACTGCTCTTTTCGGAAATAGTCGTAACTGTATGTTTCATAATATTCATAATATCAATTGACAAGAATTTAAGATGAAACAAATAATTAATTTTTGCAATGTAAACAATATTTTCTTTCTTTCAAAATGGACTGTTCCAAGTTGATTCTGCCAATCTCCAAATTATTTGAATACCATATATTCAATTACTTTACTACTATATTTACTAATTGAATATGATTTACTGGGAATTATAATTTAATTATATATATATATAATACTTTCAGACATTTATTGTATTGGGACAGCAGTAATTATAATTATATTTTGCACACAGTAATTATATTTTGGGTAAAGATAACATAATGTCTGGTGTTCGGTTATATAAACTATTACAGTCAGCTGTATAAATAAATGTATATGTAGGTTTGTATTTATATATATTATATATACATTCATAATTTATATATAACCATTTTGTTATATATAATATATATATATATATTATGATATATAATATTATAATGTGTATATACCACATAATAGTTAACAAGTTTATTTACAATATATAATTACATATATGCATGTATAGAGTCTCTAAATTGTATAAATCAACATTTTCATGCAAAATTGGCATTAAATGCATTGAATTTACTAAAGAGTTAATATATGCAAGAAAGTGTTTCTGACAAATATGTATAATAATGTATTTTTTTTTTCTCAATAATGAACAAATTTTTTTGATTAAATTTCACATGTTATACAGGTTCCTCTTTTTATTGTTTGATCGTAACGTGCAATACTATAATATTTATATTCCTCTTTGGTTTAAAGGAGATATTTTCTAAAATCTTTATTTGGCAAATAAATAAGAGTGCCATTGATACTTAGTTTCCATATCCTCCCATTTCCATCTTCCTCAACTTTCCCCTTGTTCCCCTTCCCTTTCTTCCTCTCTTCTCATTTAATTGAAATTAGAATGTTAAAAAGTTGGGAATCTGTTATTTATAAGTATACACTATGCAACAAAATGAATGAATTTTGCTATCTGTCTTTATTAATTGGACGAGATTATTGTAATAACACAGTAAAAATATAGGACTTGGTTTTATGGTTTCTTTACCTTTATTATTCTGACATGCATATAGTACAAAAAGTTATACTTTTGATCATATTGGGTTTAATTGGAACATTGAAATTCAGGATTTTCATTGATATATCAGATTATACATTTACTTTTATTTGAAATATACTATTAAACGGTTCCTCAATTTTGTTCTCTGGTATTCTGTGATTAATTAAGTTGAGTTTGATTGGCTGCTGCTGGAGGTATTGTTACCAACTTAGTCTTCCATAAGCTGTTGTGAATGCTATGTTTTTTAATGGTTTTAGGCATTCTGCTTGTTTATGTCCAAGCAAATATATGATCATGTACTGCTGATTCCATTCAGCAAGTTTAGAGTAAGTTTTTACCAATTTGAGTGTTTAACATACAGTATTTAGGTTTCAACAGTAAAGGTGTATGATCAAAAGATAAATTGTGACATGTCTTGGTGAATCTTGTGTGAATGTATAAAATGTCAAATAATCCTTCCATGTTTTGAATTCTAACTGACTTCTACTTACTCTTAGACAATTTAAATTTTGTTAAAAAAAATTATCATCAAATTATATTTCTTGCATTATATGCTAGTCTGTTCCATAGCAGAGGCATAAGTACATAAGTGTACTGTGGCGCTGGGATTTATATATGAGCCTAATTGTCTGTATTTGCAGCAGGGGCCCAGTTTTGAATCCTGGTTGGGATTCCTCTTCTTACTAATCTACTAATGTGAAAAAATCACTCCGTGATAATGCTGACACATTAAACAACTGGGCCACTGGGACTTTCAGTCTCTTAAATTTGAATCTAATTTTATAGACACAATTGATTTCACACTTATAAAAAAAAGTACATGTATGTGGGTACAACACGAGTAATTGATGCGAACACATACATGTACTACCATGTTTAATAGTATTTATGGCCTGAAGTGTATATTTGCTTTATAGTTACTTTATTTGTTTTATGGGGTGAGTATTTTGTCTCCAGTTCATTTCCTCCTGGTACGTTATTTACCTTTTTTCTCTAAAAAGAGAAAAAAGTGCCACCTGCTGCTATACCATTTTGCTTTGTTTTTCTTTTTGTCCTGTCAAGAAAAATCAGTCCATGTTCAAACATCAGGCTATTAATACTATATACTATCCATGATTGATAATATTTTTTTTGTTGCAAGTCTAACAGCTATTTCAATATTCTATCATTTAAATACATTTTATTAAAAAATATACTGTATTTTAAAGTAGATAAAAATATGGAGTACACAACAGGGCTCTCAGAAAACAATAGAAATTATATCAACCAAAGATCTCTTAATACGTATCTCTGACTTGTAACATTCTTTCAATAATATTGACTTTTACCATATACATTTTTAATCTTAATTATTATAATCATTAAATGTAGTTGGAATAAAATGGAAGAGTGTGGTTGAATTTAGAAAATTGGAACTAGTCTCGCAATAAAGGTGTAGAAATAACATGAAATATCTGACAAAAGAAAAATGTCTGTTGTAACCATGTAAAGAAAGTACATTATCCATTATATATATACTGTATATAT